AATAATAATAATAATAATAACAATAATAGATAGCATGTCTCTTTTGCCTTCTTTTTCTCCAGTGAGAGAAAAATGTTCATGACCTTTTTGTCTGTCTAGTCAAGTGTCCCAGGAATTATTGTCTCTTCCTTTTTCTTATTAATGAGCGGCCCACTCAGTCTTCTCTCAACAAATACCTCATCTGATTTTTCTCCAGTTCATGAAATTCATAAGTCTTCTAGCAAACCACTTTTCTGTTGCTTTAACTTTATTTTCAATGTCTTTCGAAGAAATTCAGCACTTACGACCGTATACAAGGGTGGACCACTTTTAAAGTCTTACGTTGGTTGTCATTTGGGTTGTTTCTGTTTTTCAAGATAAGACTCATTTTATTATAGTTATATCTCTAGCTATTGCAATGTTTAAAGAATAATATATCTTTGTTATATATAATACCGGTAACACATTATTTTTGTTGGTATTTGTACTCGTGTTTTCATCCCCGTCGTCATCATCATCTTCATCAGCTGCAACAGCAACAGCAACAGCAGCAGCGGCAGCAGCAGCAGCAGCAACAGCAGTAGCAGTAGTTTACCACAGCAGCAGCAGCAGCAGCAGCACCACCACCACCACCACCATCATCATCGTCAAAGTCACTGCAAAGAGGCACCTCTACTCGCCAATCAATGGCAATTCGAATGGAGTTTTTTGGACGAGTGGAGGTGCCTCTAAGTATAATAACAATAGAGCCGAAAAAGAGCCTCGCTCTTGCTCGAAGATTTCTTCGTAGAGTCCACCAGGCCCATTAAGGAAACAAAAAATAATCATTCATCATCATCATCATCATCATCATCATCATCTTCATCATCATCATCATCATCATCATCATCATCATCATCATCATCATCATCATCATATTATCATTACTATCGTCATAAAAAATATACATTGTTAGCATTAATATTATTGCAACTATTTTCATAGCTTTATTGTAGTAGTTGTTGTTGCTGTTGTTGTTGCTTTTATTATGAAGTTGTCAGTGGCAGATGTAGTAATGCTATCATTACGATTATCAATCACATTAATACAGCAAACAAAGTGAAAACGGCGAGTTTTTAAGTATTTGTTTTTAAACGCAGATAGTTGGTTCCTCTATGATCATATTACTGCTTGTGAGGGTATGGATCATCGTGTTACATAAACGTGTAAGGGCGTGCGTATGAACAGAGGAGCAATGACGGGGACTTTCTTTAAACTATTGTTTATTTTTTACCAGCCATTTACATCGTAGTGTCTGTTGGAGAAGTAAACGTCTTTATTTTGTCTATTGTATCCCCTGCTGCATGGTTATGTTGTTCTTAACTACTGACTACCTTGGAATTACAAAGTTCTATCTGTTCTGTACCTAGTTTTTCTAAATTTGGAGTAAATAATTGTTTCACAAAGTGTCAAGCGTATTCTTTGGATGTATCTTTATAACAAACTCCGAATGATTTTACGATTTTAAAAGAGTAAATAGAGCATTTCTGCTCTGACCTCATGGTCTTAGTAAATCAAAACGGTCAGCTACAGATTTGTAATCTTAAGGTAGTGTAATCTTTCTCTGCCTTCTATGCATCTTTTTCCTGGTCATGTCTGATCTCTTGTTGTATGCTATCGCTGCTATAGTATTGTCTAATAGTAGTCGTGTTAGGTGCCTAAACCATTTAATTTATTGTTTGTCTATGTATTGTAAGCGGGAAGGTGAGCCAACATGTTCTGTGATAGTTTCGCTTCTCACCTCGTCTCTTCTTGACTTTCTGATAGTCTATATTTTTACTCAACTCATCAGGGACGGGTATTTTAGTCATTCGACAACGTTTGAAGGCGTGCTGTTTTGGAACACTTATAAAAAGAAACAATGCATTATTCATACAGAATTTCCAATTTCCTGATCTATATCCAAAACTTCATGAGGCAGGCAAGTGCATGCATAATATTATGAACATATTCAAAGTCGTGTTTAAAAAAATGTATGTACATGGTACGAAATGTGCCACACCCTTCCTTTGGTGTACTGATGATCTGGCATATTAAATGTCCGCTACGTCCTTAAAGTTTAATAGACGTGTACTGATTAGAACAATACTGCACCTATTTTACCAGGGAGGTGGTATTGCTGAATATCAACACTTTGATTTATTTAGATTGTAACCAAAATGCTGATGTTTTCAAATATTGTTATACTATGACAGTGTTGTTATGAAAAGAAGTTTTTGGTCTGTGTGCATCTATTGGCATAATCTGAATAATATACTTCGTTTCCAGCGATGTAGTTACAACTCAATAAAATGTTATAAGCATGTGTCATTGAGGTTTGGCTTGTTCCTTTTTTTAAATTTCTTGTTCTCTTATGCAAAGCTCAGAACCAAAACCTGGGAAAAGTATATCTTTTAAAAAGAAATGAAAAAAAAATAAAGCTTCTTGTGATCTAAACAAGCTTGCCGTTGACGGAATTGGTTTTATAGGGGTGTAACTCTTTTCAACGCAGTTTGACTAGTATTGGGCTCGACTGCCAGTTTCACGTACGTTCCTATTATTATTGAGTAAAACTGGTGTATATCTTTAAAAACTGCTTCGCCAGGTCGTTTCCAGAATATTCCCAGTCGG